GATAGCTTTTTCAATTTCATTTCATTCTAGAATATGGCAGCTCTGAGAATAGAATTTGTAAAAAATAAGAAATGCGGGCCATCGAAGTTTACACAAGAGGCTTGTAAGAAAAATGAAGACAAAAACAGGCAACAGTCCGTTTCATAGAGACTTGCTTTTACCGATAGATCGTGCAGATACGACGATGTGATATGCATTGATGCTACTCGAGTAGTGCTCAAAGACAGAACTCCTGAAGAAGACTACATACATGCAAACTGGATGATAATGCCAGATAAACAAAAATATATTTGCACTCAGGCAAACAAAAAATGACACCTCGCTGTCTCAGTTGCTCAATTTAAGCTTTTAGGGTCCTATACAAGAAACACTGGAAGACTTCTGGCATATGATCTATACCGAGAGAAGCGCAGTCATTGTGATGTTATGTGCATTCAAAGAGGGTGTGCTACAACTGCTTGCGATTTACAACATCACTAGTGATTGTTTAGGCCCTAATGAAAAATGTGCACTTTACCACCCGAAAACAACAAACGAATGCGGAAAGTTTGGTCCTTATAGAGTATATCTGAAAGAGGAAAAAGACAGCCCTATTACTGGAGTAACTTACAAGATTCTTTGTGCGAAGAAGAACAGGAGGTTAACTTTCTGAGTCTTCACTGGCAGTGCTCAGATACAGTTGTTTGCAGAAACCCGTTTGAAGTTCATCATTTGGCGTATACGGATTGGCCTGATCACACTGCTCCCAATGATCCAACTTCGATAGTGGCAATGATGAGATTTGCTCGAATGTTGGCCAAAGGAAGTACGATTACAGTGCATTGCTCTGCGGGGATTGGTCGTTCTGCTACGTTTGTCGGTGAGATTTGATTAGAAAGCAATAATCACTGCTATATCGTTAATGGCTATAGGTATAGATTATGCCATGCAGCGGATAAAACAGGATTCTAATGTTACCATGGTTGCTATTTTGAAGGAATTGAGAGAACAACGATACCAATGCGTTCAGGGCATCATTCAATATATTTTCTTACACGTATGTGTTCTGGAAGGATTTGCATATGTGAGTTACGGTCATTTATCGGACTCAGACTGTCGTGATACCTTCGTGGCAAAACATTAGTAAAAGAATCAGCAAAAAATTTACCAGTTGTTCTCAGACTGTCTGCGCTGTTTCAACATAGTTCATGATAATGAAACGGATCTAGCTTTTGTAGGAAGGTGCTGTAAGAAAGGACGAACTTCAGTCGTATTTCAATGGCTACAGAAGAATGCTGGCACTTTTCAACAAGAAGATCGCAGCGAAGATGAAAGATAAGGCACAAGGGTAGTCTCGAGATGTTTATTGTTGTTAATTCCCCTAATACTATTCATCCAAGTCCTCATTAACTATTAATAGTTATTAAAGAAAACATATTTAAGTTAGACTATTAATCAGTGTATTATCAAAAGAAACTCGATAAACGATTGACATTTGACTCGTTACAACAACCGTCGTTCAACAAACAATAATTTATACATTTAAAAATTTACATTGTTCATTATGAAATCCTCGATGTCTGACTGCTTGTCCGGCAACTTCTACTGGTAACACAGCATAGAGTGGTAAATGATATAGATATTGTGAGAAATATCAGTGCAATAAGAACAATCGTAAATAGGATCCACTCTTCACTTATGCAGACATCGCGAATATACGAAAAGGGCTTCTGTAACTTATTGTATGTTTACACGGCAAATTAATCTAACAGAATTACCTCCTGCACAATATCTAAAGCAGTCAACTCAGCCCGAACATCGAGAGTGTGCTTGTCATTGTCTTCACTGAAACAATCCCACATTGAAAATGCATGTTACAGTCGATCAATACGTATTCATGAATACCTTGTGCTTCTTTGAACGCGTATCAAGCGTGAGACTTTAGCCAGGTTTCGCTTGTATGAGTCTTTAGCACCAATAATTTGCACTGTTTGAGTACGATGCGATGCTAAAACGAAGCCTGATTACATATACAGGAGTGCAAGATTACTAACGTTACCTATCGGGCAACACAAAATGTGCAGAATCGACAAATGTG